GGCAGGGCCACACGAGGGCGCTGGGGGCCGGTATCTGCCAGCCAGTGCGTGCGGACCCTGGGGGACGTGGTGCATTGCCCAAAGGAAAACCAGGTGGGCCGCTTCTCGGGCGGTGACTACATTGGAGACATCTGTGTGTTCCTGCTCAACTCCCCACATTAACCTAGCAGCCCCGCAGACCCCACATTTTCCCAAGAAATCTGTTAAAATGAGATATGCAGTCCATTTGGGGCATTTATCAGACATTGATTGGTTTGGGTTCGCTGTCTTCGTATTCGTGACGCGAATAAGTATTTGTCATTGCACATAAGGGACTGCAGTTTCTACACTGCATATTCCTGGGTCCCTAGCACAGAGTAGGTCTCTAACTTTTGATCCTATGGAGGCAGAGGCACATAGCTGAACGCAGAGGGTTACTTGGCAGTGTTTTCACGTTGTAACAAAGTATCCCTACCAACATGGGCAACTCCTGCCTTAAAAACAGACAAAACACTAATAGGTCATGTGGCAAATTAGATGAGACCCGGAAAATAAACACTAACCTGTCTTTTCCAACTGTAAATGGAACAATTTGAAAAGTGAAATGTTAGTATATATTAGAATAGACAAGAGCGCGTCACAGAGGAGGTGGGATTTGAGACTTTCCCACCAAAGGATGAACAAAGGCCACGAACAAAGTAAACAGTGGAAATGGCACGGACCAACCAGAGGGAGCAGGTTGGGGCGCAGGTGAAGGTAAGATGGAATGAAGGCTGGACAGACAAGGAGCATGTCGTTTAAATGCAGTGGCTGCAGAAACCATCGAGGCCCCAGGCAGAGCGTGCAATCTGTCTGGCAGTGGCGTTGAGACGGATGAGATGGGGAGGGGCCACCAGGGAGGAGTCAGCTGGACATGCCTTTTAACACACTTCAGAGGATTGTAACGGAAAAGGTGAATTTATTTATGGATCTTTATATTTTTATTGATTTCAGAGAGGAAGGGAGAGGGAGAGATGGAAACATCAATGATGGGAGTCATTGGTCAGCTGCCTCCTGCACACCCCACACTGGAGATGGAGCCCGCAACCCGGGCACGTGCCCTGACCGGGAATCGAACCATGACCTCCTGGTTGATAGGTCGGGCCTGAAAAGGTAAATGTAGACTGGTGTCTTTACCATTCAAATAATTGCACTGGGGCAAATGATACATTGAGTGGTGCCTGAGAAGATAGTTGAAAGTGTTATAGAAACAGTGGATCTGCTATGAAATTTTTCCCATCGTGGACATATTTGAAACCATGTAACATTCTATGTCAAAACGTCACATCTGGATCTAAGGAAGTACTTGAAATTATTTCACATGGTTTGAAACGTGCCCATCCAACTTGGATTGCAGTATCAGGTAAAGTTAAAGCAACACACACACACACATAATATGGGGAAATTTTCTTCATTTTTAATTTACAGCAGAAAGAATATAAAGCATTCAGAAAACATTTTCCATATTTTTAAGGGCAATTCAAAACATTTTGCATGGTTTCCAGCAGCTGAATTCTTCAACAGATCCATTGATTCAATGATGCTTTACATGCACAATTACAAAAATAAAACTTACAAAAAAGAAGACATCTAGACTAGTTTTACATGCAAGTCTCAGGGACCCCCCATTGGGCGCCAACTACTGTGTGGAACTGCCATAAGCGACCGTGCAGCCAGAAAGGGGTTCGAGTTAGTGTCTTTATTTCGTTCACACAGTACAGCTGATTTCAAATGGGTAACAAGAATAGCAATGAAATCTTCAGGAGACAGAATAAGATTAGCTATTAACTTTTATAATGAAATCCTACTCCTGGCACTTGGGAATTCAGATTATCCAAGAAAGCTGCGCTTATCTATCATCTTATATTCAAAATTAAGATTCATAACCGAGGAAAAGCGGTCAGAAGTGCTTCGTATCGGTGGGAGCGTACTGGTACCTCCCCTAGGATTCACAGTTGTACTGCTACTTCCTGTCCCCTCCGCGAGAACCCTCCTAATTCTACATCAGTCTTTCTCTTCCCGAATTGTCGAACTCACTCAGCGAATAATGTAGCATGTGGAACATGAACAAAATAAGTGTGAGGGTTAAAGCAAACCCACTGAGGTCATTACTCTTGTCAAAAGATCAGTTATTTGTACCAGAATAAATGGAATAAACATCTAAATTCGGCATTAAGACAGGATATTCTGAGAGAGCTGGCTTTCACGTTCTATTCCCACTTAGGAATGCAATTGTGTGTGTGTGTGTAAATGACTGTGTCCTCCTGTAGGTTAAACTGTAAAATAAAAGGGATCGTGGGTGGGGTGTGGGGTGTGGGGGGGACTGCAACAGCTGTAACGTAACCCACACATTTAAAATAACAAAATTGAGTCAGCTCAGTTTACAAATGTACAGATGGCTACTAGTTGTGGGGCTGTCACTGTGGTCGAAGCTGATCACAAGCAGTAAGACGTATACTGTACAGTAATTTGAGGTTGGCAGTGAAAGGAATTAAAAAACAAGTACAATTATAGAAAAGGCACCAAGAGCACTGACCCCAGTGTGTACCTCGATCCTGTTGTGTCTACCTTCCTTCTGAAAAGACACCAGTTTAAAAGCTTATTTGTGAATATTTTTAGGCTTCACAACGAGCCTTGAGTTTTAACTTACAGTTGGCAGCCAGAACCAAGAAAAAAAACAACACACACACACACTATTATTTCAGCTTTACACCAACTGGTCCTGAAACGTAACCTGGGAATTTTTTAAACTGGCATCAGCAGATGCGAACTGGATTCTCCTCGATTGGACGTTAGTAGTTGAATGTTTAAAAGCATCAGATTTCTTTGGCTCCTCGTTCTGTGAAAATAGTCATATGCCGTGACATCCCTACAAGACCAGTCTGCATCTCTTAAAGTTTTAGTTATTTCTTTTGTGTGCAGTTTTTTAAATGACATGTTCTGATTTCCAGCAGGAGATATGAAAACGTGAGACATTTTTCTACCTTTTGCACTATTTCTTTTGTCAGGGTTTGGTCGTTCTAAGTATTCTTTGTTGGAGCGAGTGGATGGTATTAAGCTGTTTACGGATTCATCTTATGATTATCTGTTTAGCAAAAGGAACTTAATTTTCTTAAGCAATATTAGCATTCACATTACTTGGCACCATTGGCAAAATTTTTTTTTTAAATAAAATAAAATAAACTCCTGGTAGCCAAAATTAAATGTAAACATATCCTTTTTTTTTAAGTAATGTTACTCTGCCTTTTCTCCTAAGTCTAAATACAGTAGCTCTTTTTTTTATTTTTTTTGCAGTTTAGTCATGCTTTAGCAAAATGTTCTTCTAAAGAACATTTAAAATAAAGTACTCTTATAGTGAAATAAAGTTTTTTTTTGTTTCATTTTACAGACCATAGCCACTAATGCTTTGCTTGTGTTCATTTCTTTTTTCTTGATTTCATGCACATATCTCTTTGTTTTAATATATACAATATATACAAACAATACATCCACATTTTTCTTGCTCATTCAGACAAAACTATACAAATAATTTTATCTTGCCATGTTATTGACCTTTGTGAATAAAATATTTAGCAATTAATATAATCCCTTTCAAATATTTCTCACTTTCCATCTCTACCTTCTATATATATACACAGAAACTGCTCTGTTTGGATGAGATATAGCCAAAAATATGGAATTTACTGGCCAGAACGCAGCACCACGCTGATCTTTTAGGTGGCAAATGTCCAGGCAAGGTTTATGATTCCTCAGAATGACTACACTTCCCAGGGTTACTGGAGAAAGCTACATGCTCTACCGATTCTCTAAGTAACCCCCATTGCACATGAAAGTAAGGCAAAAAAATTAAAGTGCTGAACATGAGAAAAGGGACACGATGAGTCCTCGCAGGTTCCTGGGGGGGTGGGGGTGGGGGCGGGGACAAGAAAATAAATCTTCACTCTGGAAGCGGTTTCTCCTCGTTTCCCATGCATTACCCGTTTGCCACGCCCGCCCCTCTGCAAATTTCCACAAGACATTAAAAACCTGCAGATTTTTTTTTAAAAAGTTGCATTAAGTGTGCTGTCGAGGTTAAAACAAGAACAAACGAAACAGTGAAGGAAATGAGAACGCACGGACGCAATAAAGATTGGGGTGATCTAAGCCCTCCACTGACAACGAATCCCGAAGATTCAGCCTCTTGGAAGCCACTGGCAGGTGCGGGAGCAGCGTTCTCGTGTTGCCGGCGCGTCCCCACCGCTTCTTCCCTATATTTTTGGTATAAATATTTGTACAGTTCCACGCGATGTTTGAGTACAGCCCTATGTGAGCGGGAAAGCGGCCGCTTCCCCAGGGGGAGCCTCTTTCCCTTCCTCGCGGCGTCTGGTTTTCCCGCGACCCAACAGAAGATTGAGTTCCATGATGTCTCGCTGATCAAATTAAAAGTTGTCCATGAAAGTGCAAATGCAATGAACAAAACATTCCTGTTAAAATCCTGCAGCTGATCTCTCCAAAACTGCAGAGGGATTGTGTGTGTGTGTGTGTGTGTGTGTGTGTGTGCGCGCGCGCTTGTGTGTTGTTGCATGTCTCTGCTAAAAACAGAAATGAAAACAGTCTGAAAAGCAATGTCACATTGCTAAGGGATGCTGCTGTATGTCTTCAAGTTCCTTGGCCTTTTTCAATTCTTTCACTCTGCAAGAGAAACAAACAAAACACCAGGTGGTAACTATAGAGTGAAACTGACCAAACCCAGGAAAGGGCATTCCCATTCCCTCTAAAGTAAACAAAAAAAAAAGAAGAAGAAGAAAAAGACCATTTGAGGACTGATGCCAAAAGAACCCGTTTAACTGCTGGGGGACATACTCCAGAGGAAGGGGGGCCCTTCCTGAACCCCAGCTCTGCCGCCACCTGCTCCCAACACAAAGCAGAACCGAAACCCACTTCACGAATCGAGCGCAACAGTCACGTGTGCGTCTCAGACGATGTTAACTGTTCAAACAGCTTTCTTCTCGGCCCGGTGGACACCATGAGCGCCCTGTAATTCCTGTAATTCCAGGTGACACAAGTTCGGGGACCTGCACACGCCTCTATGCGGGTGCGGCCTGGCCTAGGAAACCAGCTGCCTTTGCTCACAGACTCAAGGTTGTCAGAGGTCGCGGCCCTGAGCTCACACCTGCACAGCTATGGGCCTCACCCCAGGGGCGTCTGGTGTTCATGCTCCTGACGTGCTTCCCAGAGGAGATGTTCTGGTCACCGCCCCCTGCTCCCAGGGGGGCAGCCATAGGGGGCAATGCACGTAAGGGACTTGGTTCCAGGTGTCCCACATGGTGTGCTAACCACATGCAAATGCAACTGTTACAGAGTCCTGGGAAGTCGGTATCAGCAAATGATTGGTTACTGACCACCTCTGGTCTGTTTTCATGTAAACACTCGCCGCGGTGTTTTAGCGGGACCCCGATGCAGACGAGGTACCGGGGCAGAGGCCGTGAGCGCTGAGAAGAGCTCTCCTCACTGACCCATCAAGACCCCGCCGTCACGGCAGAAGGATCCCATGCCGTGACTCCGGGGTCGCCCCGCGTGCCCCATGGTAACGTCTGCTTCCCAAACACGGGAGAGGCGACCGTGGCCAGCAGAGGGGCGGCTTCCCAGGGCGCGGGGCTGTACTTGCACAGCCTGGCGGGAAGTCCGGCTGGTCTGTCTGACACGCGCCTTTCGGACCCGGACCTCTAACACAGAGGTCAGTAATCCCACACAGTTTCAGTTCTCGGAGTGTCACGCCTCTCCTGGGACCTGCAGTTCTATCAGCATATTTACATTTCACTGCAAAGCAAATGCTAGTTTACTTTCTGGATAGACTCGAGCGGGCAGAAAACGTTCTGGAAACCCCATGGGGAGGAGACATTCGAAACCCCGCGGCGAATTATCCAGGCGTCTGTTACAGAGGTGGCGCGTCTGCTGGGACAGCCGTTCAGGACGACGGCTCTATTTACCGCCTCTGCGCAGAACCGCTTCTCAGAGGAGACGCTCCCATTGTACCGTCATTAATACGAAAGGGCAAGATAGCAGTGGGCACCTCGCTCGTCTGATTAGCTGCTGCATTCAGCGAGCCCAGCTCGATCAAACCGTGGATCTTCAAGACAGTTAAGTCCCTTTCTTAACAGGCACATTTAGAAGGTGTTGCTGTGTTCACAACGGCACCCGGGCATTACTTAGTTTTAAGTTTTGTAAGGAAATATACCGTGGGTTGTGAAGTGTTCGGGTAACCCGGGTATGGCCACACAGAGGGGCGCATCGTTCTAGGCCCTGATTTTGGACATGCAGACTTGATCAGTCGGTGGCGTTTTAAAAATTGAAACATGCTAGAGTCTGGGTTCAATTTTTAAACATGCAACGTCTATACTAGCAGCTCTTTGGCTGGAGAAATGCAAGGCATGCAGCGATGCCACGTGTACTTCCGGGCATGCAATTGTCTGCGCCTGCGCAGACCTCAGGTGCTGAGTTAGGGCAAGATGTGCATGCTGCTTCGAGTGCTACACTGTATCTCTGCTCTCCCGCAGGCCTCATTCACAAATATGCACCTGACTCCAGCACCGAGGAGACCTCTGGAGGGAGAATTCTTAACTCCAAATCCGACAGCATAAACCAAAGACAGCCGTTCCCGCGTTTTCTAGAGGGACACAGGGATGCTTTAAAAATACCCAGTTCCTCATCGAGATGAGATGAAAGGAGAGTGAAGTATAACCAGAAACGTTTTACAGTTTCATACGAAAGAATCTGTCGTCAGCTGGTCACGACGGGTCTAGCCTGAACAGTTTTCTTTAGTTAAAATGGCCATGTTTGTGTTTGCAGTTTCTTTCTGAAATAATTAAAAAGCCAGCTACGTTTTCATAAGGTTTTTAGGTTGCCATGTAAATACTCTGCTATGAAATGAGTGACTGCCTTGCACACCGCTAAGGGCAGAGATGGCTACGGCGGTTGACAAGGGAAAATGAGACACGGAGGTCGTCCGACAGTTTCAGATCCATCGAACTCCCGAGCTAATGTGGAGAATTCATTCTTAGCTTCGCGCTGAGGTGCGCAGACACTGGCATTGTGACATCGAAATGTCTCAGGTAGCCGGGCTGTGGTGGCTCAATGGATTGAGCGCCGTCCCATGGACCAAGAGGTCCTGGGTTCGACTCCCAGTCAGGGCCCACGCCTGGGTTGCGGGTTCGATCCCCAGTAGGGGGTGTGCAGGAGGCAGCTGATCAATGAGTCTCTCTCATCATTCCTTTTTCTATCGCTCCCCCCCCTCCCTTCTTCTCTGAAATCAATAAAAAAAATGACTCAGGTATGTTTTTAAAAACAGGAAGTCATGGAGGGAGGACTTGCGGGAAAAGGGAAGAGAACACTTATGTTCCAATAGCTGCACAGGTGACTTAAAACTTGTTACCTTCTCTAGTCCTCATGACACCACCTTCTCCCCAGTTTGTAAATGCACAGGATGGGATTGATGGACGTGAGCAGCTGCCCCGTTAGCCGATGCTCCAGTTAACAGACGGCAGTGCAGGGGTTCGAGGCCACCTGCTGCCTCCAGGATCCCAGGCAGCAGGATAACAAAGGAAGTGTTTCTCAGGTTCTTACTTTATTGGTTTTTCCCAAAACACTTGATAGAAGACGCATCTGGAAAACGTCCCTGGCCTGAGATAAGTGTGTTGTTGAAAACCGATGACAACAATCGCATTTTCCCATTCTCGGATGTCGTCCTCTGTATGACCCAGTGGTGAGTTTATTCCAACGTTTTAGAGAGAAAAAGTACCTCCCCATCAAATGCACGTGTCGATTTCTCAACATAGATTCGAAACGTGAAAAGAGTGGGCCTAAGAATCAGGGGAATGGAAAGATTTTTAGCCTCGTTCTCCAAGCTGCGATGTGTAGACCCCGCTAAGGCTCTCACAGTCTGCCCTACGGGAACCCGGATGGAGTTCCATGGGACCGGAGGGCAGTGTCGGGGTAAGAGAGGTGTCTGATTGTTTTGTTTTCAATCAATTATCAATCCAATAAAGTATGTGTGAATGTCGCACTGTCTCCAAAGACACAGAAAACAATGAGTTCTCTTACTGGAGTGGTTTAGAACAACACCCGATACTGTCATTTTTTGTTAACGAATTCTAGGGAATAGAGGTTTCAAATCAGAGTGTTTCCGATAGTTACAGGAACTTGTTGTTGGTTCCTCTTAGCCAAGTTACAAATAATCCCTAAAACGCACAGGTCAACTAAAACCCTACCGACCATAGTAAGGACACACAACAGTAGTCCCACAGTCACCATCTCGGGGAGAGTCTACTTGCTTGCTCGTATTTCCGAGCTAGAATGAGTGGGGAACTCAGGGAAAGAGAGGTCTGGCAGTTTTCCAGAAAGCCCATTGGATTGCAAAACGAAAGAGACGGCGAGGTCCAATAAGGAGGACCCAGAGCAGGTGTCTGTGCTCCAAGCAGGCCCCTTTCCCAGAAGAGGCAAGCGAGACGACCTTGAGGCTGAAACGCCCCCCACGGTGACACATCCCCATCCAGTGCCTCGGGCCCCTCCCCCTCGGAAATCGGCTCTCATCAGATGCGACCAGGGAAGTGGGAGCGCCCACTGCGGCCTGGGCTCCGCTCCCTCTCGGCTGAACGGCCGCCCTGCCAGGCGTTGCTGGAGGGCGGCCCTCACAGAGAAGCAGAGAAGCACGTGTAACAGCACAGAGTCGCAGCAGAACGCGGGGAGGACCCGCCCGGGGCACCTCAGGGCGTTGGCTCTCGGTTAGTTGCCTAGGTAACGGCAGCATCTGCCAAGTCAAGTGTTTGGAAACCCAGTGGTCAAATATAGAGAAAAATGTGTGGCTTAAAAACGTGTGTCCGGGCCGGGGCGGCTTGAAGGCTGGAGGCTGAGAATCGACCCAGGAACCAGGGGGTCAGGGTCTGATTCCCGGTCAGGGCACCTGCTGGGGTTGCGGGCTCCATCTCCAGTGGGAGGCGTGCAGGAGGCAGCCGATCCATGGTTCTCTCTCATCACTGATGTTTCTGTCTCTCTATCCCTCTCCCTTCCCCTCTCTCTCTCAAAAGAAATATCAAAAACAAATAAATAAATAAAAATGTGTGCCTAAGAAGTGTGATCTTTTCTTCCTCCAACTGGGGTTCCTTTATCCCAGTGGGACAGCGCCACCCACCTTCACTGACGTGGTAACTCAGCCAGCGGTTTCCAGGAAGACTCGGGGAAGGGCCCCGAGCGCCCGCTGCCTGTAATGACCTGCAGTGACTGACTGTGATGACCTGCAGTGCCTGTGATGACCTGCAGTGACTGACTGTAATGACCTGCAGTGACTGTAATGACCTGCAGTGACTGACTGTAATGACCTGCAGTGACTGTAATGACCTGCAGTGACTGACTGTAATGACCTGCAGTGACTGTAATGACCTGCAGTGATGTGACAGGTCACGAAGCCCACGCCTCAGGGATAGATCGTTATGAGGGCCCATTCCTGACCATTTCCCTTCTGCGTGGGGACCTGGGTTTCCGCCATCAGATCGAGGAACGTCCTGTTACCTGCCCGGCACAGCCCACGGGGAAGCAGTGCTCCCGGCAGGTGCGCGGGGGGTTCTCGGCCTCAGCCATCCTGCCGGCACCGGCCGGGAGCAGCAGGCACCTCTCACCAGGGAAGGAGTGGAAGCTGTCGGCTCCACCTCCGTGTCCAACAAGCTTCCTCCTAAATGGACAGCGAGGGCCTCCAAGACCAGACACACCCCTAGGATGTCAGCAAGAACCTGGAGATGCCTTTTAAGGCTTTTTTTTAGCCTTTTTAAGGCTAAGCCTGCAGGGAAAAAGCTTTTCCTTAGCCTTCCCCGAGTGAAGACAGAAAGTGGGGTGCATTTCTGGTTGCTGTGCTGTGGGCCTCGGCTGCTGTGTCTCAGTCCCGGTGGCTGACATCGTCCCGAGCCAGGGAGCCTCTGGGGCATTAACCGAGGGGTTGGGGTCGCCCGGTGTTTCACAGACACTGTCCCATGACGTTTAACTAAGTTTCCAACCAGTTCTCCTCCTGGGGAAACCGCGGCGCCGCTGTCAGTGCTTCATCAGTTGACCAAGTGCGTGTATCACCTTCTTTCACACCAACTCCAGGGAAGTGGCTTCTCCCCAGAGAATGTTCTGCCTCCGAGAGCCAGCTCAGCTTGGGGACCACGAGGAGGAGGGTCCCTGCGACGTCTGTGAGGGGACAGGGAGGGAGCGATCGCACTGGCCGTCAGACAAAGCCAGAGGCCAGCTCTCCCTCGAGTCACCGGGCGAGGTAAAGACGAACATTCTAGAAGGACCCGGAGCCTTCTCAGCTCCTCTCCCCAGACCCCTCTACAGGCTCTGGGCAGAAGGAGGCTATGAATCCTGACTTGCTGAGGGGACTTCTGGGAGCTCAGGACGGATGCAGGGGGCACCTGGGAAATTAAGGCGCACAGTGGCTGGCACTGAAGAGCATCCTTGAGAAACGAGGTCTTAAACACGGTCCCTCACACGCCAGGAGCTAACAAGCCTCACGGCACACAAGTAGCCGCTTTGACTAAATGCCGGCTCCTCGCAGCAGACGAGTGTGAAGCTGGTATCACAGCCAGACAGAGCGGCTGTCAGTTCAGCGGAATCCGAGGGCACGCAGTGTTCCCCTCGGAAAAGCTTCTAAATGGACGAGGCGTCATCTCTGTGTGCAGAGGGCGAGAGGGACTGGGAAGAGAGCAAGGAGACTTCTGTCCCCTTCTCCTCCTGAACCCCAAACACAGGCCCCTCCGAGCCGGCTCTGCCACCCGGGACCCCGACTATTCCGCGCGCCTAACCCTGGCGAGGACGGACTAGTTCCACTTACAAAAGCGCGTAGCTGCTTCCTTATGATCTTTTACACAGTGGCCCCTTCGATGTGACGACCCATGGGTTTACATAGGCGAGACTTTAAATCTTGTATAGAAATGAGGCCTGGTTTCGAAGAACTTATAAAAACTCAATTCTCCTGGTACTGCAGGTCGGCAAACTAGGGCCCCTGGGCCGGCTCGGCCCGAGCGTCTCTGTAAGGGCCATCTTGTGAGAAGGGCTACCCACTCTGCCCAGGGACTCTCCACAGCTGTGTTCCAGCTGCGATGGCAGAACCCAGTGGTTGCCATGGAGACGGCCTGACCTTTGAAGGAAAAGCTAGCCGACCCTTGGCTTCCGCTAGAATGAATTGACATCAGCGTTGACACAGATGCAGTCAGTGGGGAGTAACACCTCCGGAAACACGCGAAGCTTCAGAGGTTTTGAAGGCTGCTCTTTCCTCGGGAATCTCGCAGGTGACTATGTGACGTGTTGGTGTAGAGTGGAGGAGGAGGGGTGCCATGGGAAGTCGAGAGAGATTCCCACGTTATATTTCCGGGGCGTCTTCTCTCAGCACGACGTACGTACAAGACAAACGTGGACAAATTAATCTACATGGAAGCCTGTGTTCGGTGACTTAGATGCCCGGGTTTTAAACCTGTTTTCTGGCATGAAATCCTTGATTACCACTTAAGACATGTCCCAGTCCCACCGGCGGGGACTCTCACCCCGCTGCCCGCTGACACATGAGCATCCTGCTCTGAGGCCTAGCGAGGCCCCTGCGCCATCATGTCTTTAAAACGCCAATGATGGGAGCATCGCCTCTGAGCTGCAGCAGGACACACGGAGGTGCGAGCCCTCGCACCGCATCCCCGGCCGGCTTTGCCTTGAAACGCTGGAGGTCAGCTCCGCTCGCGTTGTTACAGCGAACGTCGGGGCCGATGCTGACAGGGCGGCTCTGGGTACTGACTGATCTCGCAGCGTTAGGGAAGGGAGATTAGAAAATAACACGGGAGGGACAGGGGCCTGGGGAAACGGTCGTTCTACACAAGAGAGAGATTCATTAAAGATCACAAAGCCGAGACCACCCAGGGAGCCTTCTTGCTTTAGACATTTGCACCCAGCAGATGAGAGACGTTCTCGAGGCAAATGACCTCGCTCACAAGTACCCACTCGCTCCCTGTTTCAGCCTGAGAGTCCCACGTGTGCCCCCAGCCGCCCGTGTGCACCGGAGGCGTCTCCCCCTCCTCCGCATGCCCGGTGCGGCCTCCACGCCCCCCCTTCGCTTGCTCATGCATCGGGCATCGCACACCTACCCGGGGTGACTGTTCTCCTACGAAGGAGCAGTGTTAGTAGTCAGGGTTAGTTTCACTCGGGTCTCATTTCATTCAATGGATGTGAAACTTACTGCATACCTCGGCGCAGCCCCATGCAAGCAAGCAGAAAGCAAAGACTGAAAATGGAGGCAAGGTGAACGGGCCTGCAGGCAGCTCACTCACCCTTTTGTACAGCCTATGGTCCGCCAGGGGGCTTCAGACAGTAAAACAACACCAGACAGCTATTAGCACGGAGGCTCGCGACAGAGGCTCACAAATAGCTTTACTTCAACACAAGCAGAGAGTTTAAAGTGGTCCCTTGGATGGGAAGGGAGCGTGGTGGTCTGGTGCGTGAGATGAGCAGGTAGGGAATCTACCAATGTATTATTTTTTATTTCCTATTGTTATTATTTTTGTTTAATCCTCACCTGAGGATATTTTCCCCATTGGTTTCTAGAGAGAGAGAGTGGAAGGGAGGGAGGAGAGGGGGAGACAGAGAGAGAGGGAGAAACATCGACGTGACAGATCACGCCGATCGGTTGCCTCCCGCAGGAGCCCCTACCAGGGCTGGGGAACCTGCAACCGAGGTACGTGCCCTTGACTGGGAATCGAGACCGTGACCCTCCAGTCCGCAGGCGGATGCTCTGACCACTGAGCACAGCAGCCAGGGCACCAAGTTATTTTTAAGTCTAGAAACGTTGGGGTCATGTGACAGCAAGTCCTTAAGCGATGGGACTCCTGAAGCCACTGCCTGCCCACCTGCCTAAGAGGGGTCCCGGGAGGCCTCCCGTTTTGATGCCTCCAAGTGACAAGCCACACGGAGTGCCTCTGAGAATGCGGCTCATGAGCCTGATGGAAGCAGGGCCTCACCCGTCCGTCCGTCCGTCCGAGGGAGGCATGAGCTCCACCTCCCAGGGGAGGCTCTCGGGGTCCCCTCGGCTCCCGCATCGACAAGGAGCGGAGCGAGTGCCATCTCAGCTGCGTCCAAAGCCCAAAGGTCAGTGCAGTCTCCCTGCCCGCGTCTAAGACCTGAACCAGGGGCGGGCACGTAACCGAGCGGGCCGACAGGGCCTCTCACCCCGAATCACGGGCAGACCTGCAGTTCATAGCCTGACCTTCTCTTCCTCACACACCTTCCTGTGGCCTGCCCAGGTCTCTGCCAGTTAAAAGAGGAACCTGTGACGGGCAAAACCTCCGTGGCCTTCTCCTCTGCCAGTTCATGAAAGAGGACTCTAAACAGGAGCAGAGATGGCTCAGCTCAGCCCGCTCTGGAGGTGGCCTTTCGCCCGCGCCCGATGGAACAGCACTGGGCTGTGGCCACAGAAAGAAAAAGCTCACAGTCACCTCACCGGGGCTGTATCGCCTACCTCGTGGTCAGAGCCGAGGCGAAGGCTAAAGGAACGGGAAAGATGAACTGGTGGACATTGGGTTTGCTGGAAGTGGCCTCAGGAAGGGACTGTAAAGACAATTTCTTTGACAACAAACTGTCTGGGAAGCAGGCACCGCAGCCCCCCCCCTACCCCCCTGGAAGAGGAGGGAGCCCAGGGGGCTTCGCGGGAAGGAGGGTGCTGACCTCCGTGAGCGCGTGGAAAGGGCGGGGTGGGGGGGAGGGAAGGGGGTCCTGGACACCCTCCTGGAGGAAGGAAATAAACCCCTCTCTTCGGATGCGAGGACTCCACGCAGGACGGAGTGACACAGAGGCTGGTGTGGGTGAGGCTGGTGGGACTGACCTTGTTATGTCAGAGCACAGCCCACAGGGACCTGCCTTTCCTAGAGAGACCTGTGTCCGCATCAATGGGGCGTCTCCTGGCGTCTACCCGCCAGCTAATCCCGGTGGAGAGCGAGCGGGCAGCTGAGTGTATGATAGCTCCTGGCAGAGCATTCTGGCCTCCGGACACCCGCCATATCCGAAAGGAGGCACTTTTTAAAGCAGCGGTTCTCAACCTGGGGGTCGCGACCCCTTTGGGGGTCGAACGACCCTTTCACAGGGGTCGCCTAAGACCATCGGAAAACACATATATAATTACATATTGTTTTTGTGATGAATCACTATGCCTTAATTATGTTCAATTTGTAACAATGAAATTGGGGGTCACCACAACATGAGGAACTGTATTGAAGGGTCGCGGCATTAGGAAGGTTGAGAACCCCTGTTTTAAAGATTTTATTATTGCTAACGTGTGGCTCCGGCCCTGGTCCCTTCTGTTGCCATGGAAATGGATTCTTTTGTTCGTTTAAGTAAAAGTACAGGCAGCCATTGAGCCCCTGTGAAGACTCAAAGTCCAAATGCTTTCCAAGTTCGCAGGCCGATGGCTTGAGGAGTGAGAAAAGCGAAAGTGAAACGGAACCTCTAGGAATCGGACTGGACCTGACATGGGCTTTCGGGGTGACTGGACAGGCCGGGCCGTAAGTGAACAGCACGGCTCCCAGAAACGCCAGGACCACAGGGACAGCGGCCTGGACGCGGCCGGAGGCCACTGTCACAGCCGGCGGCCTGAGTGAAGGAAACCAACTCTGCACCAGCCCCCTCCCCGAATCCAAGGACAGAGCCTGATCTTCACCAAGGAAAGTCCAGCTCAGGGGGGAAACACGGAGAAAGCCCGCCGGCCTGGCTCCCCGGGAAGGGGCGGGGTCTGGGAACCCACTGTCTGCTACTGAACGCGGGCCTCTAACCTCAGGGAGCGCCCTTCCCTAGAATCTCTCCGACCCTCCTCAGCCTGGCTTTCCTGGCCGCCGGCCTGGCTCCCCGGGAAGGGGCGGGGTCTGGGGAGCCCACTGTCTGCTACTGAACGTGGGCCTCTAACCTCCGGGGGCGCCCTTCCCTAGAATCTCTCGGGACCCTCCTCAGCCTGGCTTTCCTGAGGGATTCGAGCCTGCTGTCTGCCACGCGTCCAGCAGAGGGCGCCAGCCACCCCCAGACAGTCCACTTCTCTCCTTCCCTGGAGAAGAGAATGCGTTTCTTTGTGTTTTGGATGCACAATATCCCAGTGAGGCTCACGGTGAAGAGCAGACTGCGATGGGGCACGAAAACCACAGCTCAGAGGGAAACGTGGAATTAGAGCTCATCCAGCTAAGCTGTCCTCACACCGAAGTAAACCAGAAACGCCGGCACGGAGCTCCGCTCGGCACGGCGCCCAGCTCCCAGCGGCAGCAGCTCAGCCCCTCCTTAGGAGTTCTATGTCCTGGTGCCACTGGGAGGTTGGCCCTGACTCTCTGCAGGAGGGGGGCTGGCTCTCCGTGGGGGCGAATGAGCGGCTCAGTGATCAGGCTGTTCTGTGAGCCGTGACGAGTCAAACGCACAGATGCGGATGCATGTACCTACCTGTGGCGACAGCGTCGTAGAAACCGCATTATTTTCCGAGCAGCTTGATCCTGCTTTTTGGTTAGCAAACTGCTCCTGCAAAGAAAGCCAGAATGTTCACTGTCGTCGCGAGGAGGGTGCTGTGAAGCTTCCTACGTGGAAGCGGGAAGCTCGCGGCCGGGGTGCTGGGATTATCATGACACAGTGCGTGTAGCAAACCCAACAGCGGAGCAGAACCCTGGAACCCTGGACTTCCATGGGAACCGTGGGGGCGTCACTGGGGAGTGGGCAGTGGGGT